GCTTACCAGAAAAAGCCGAAGGATTCAAACCCAGCAGAACCCGACGGACAAGGGAGGAAGAAGCAGAGCAGATCCGGGATTTCTGGGTTGAGGGAGAGAATTCTAAGCCCCAAATCTTGTGATTAAGCAAGAGAGAAGGAGAAATTTCATCAAGATCTCACCGGGTTTTCAAGGGGAGAGAGTTGGTGGCTTGGGGGCTTATTGGGGGAAAAGAATCGGGAAGAAGACAGAGCAGAAACGTGTATGGCTGGGAAGAAAAGGAATGAAAATATCAGCTGATCCTTATCCTAATTTCCTTTCTTTTAGCCCCTCAACTTTTTAAAATTTTGCAATTAAGCCCCAAAACAATATTTTTCCTCAAATAAGTCCCCAATTTAATGCTAAAATACCCCAAAATTTTGGGATATTACACAGATATCATAAAATCTCCAAATACAAGATCATGATTTATTTCTAAAATTCATATTCAATTACAATATGGCTAGCCTTCTAACTCGTTACTTCCCGTGGTTTCCTCGTCCTCGGTTTCACTTCTTGAAATGGTGAATAAGGAAAAACTATGAGATAAACTCAGTAAGTAAATATGGAGTGCCCCTTGTCAAACTTAAAGCATGCCAACAAGTACAATCACGAAAACAGATACAATACGGGTATGAAATAGACATTTCCTCTATAGGTCACGGCAAGTGTTATAAACCTTCCACTAGCAGGCTACAGAAATTACTAGTAGGGTTACAGAAACGAACCGGTTCTATCAGTAACATGTCAACATGTGCTAGCGTTTATAAACCTCCCACTAGCGGGCACACGAATAACATGACCATATCGGAGACAAAACAGGCAGAAGTTAACAGGAAAATCACGATTCACAATCACTTTCAAATCATCAGGACAGTCACTCAAATTTCAAGTAGGCATGCTCAATTTAATGAAAAACATAAAACATTTCACTTCAAATCAGTCACACTTGTGTAAAACGGGTTTAGTCCCGCCACCACTTCAAAAACAAATCAAAACACGCTTTTAAAAACTGTACGGGCATTACCATAAATTTACTTACCTCACTTGCATAAAACCGAGCACTCAATTCACGTACTAACTGACAGAACGATCAAGAACCTAATCAAGATATCCACGGATTAATTACCGTACTATCATGGATTCAACTGAAATCATCATTAGGATCACTCCTAATCACAATGCTATTTCCATAATCTCCACATTCTCAGATATCTCCAAATTCATTCTTATATCACAAACTAATCATTTAAATTCCCGTTAAATGTTGGCCCTCGGGGTGTGAACAGTAACCGGTGAACAGTGACCCCGACGTGAACAGTAACCCCGACTTTCACAAATTGGCCAAAACACTAGCTAATCTCACGGGATTTTCTCCAAAAATCACATAGCAGTCCATTAACACTCAATTATATAAATTCCACTTGAATCAAGCAACAAAACACACTTAAGTCCCTCTTAATTGCTACCGAAATTTCCCCATTTCCTAGCCAAATTCAGACATCACAAAGCAGCAACCTTAAATGGATAATTTAAGCCTTAAAAGGCTGTCACATACCATAAATCCAGCAAGCAAAACCGGAGTGCAGATTGGGGAGGAGGCCGGCGGCAAGGAAGAAGAAATCCTATAGGGAACTCACGGGTTTTACCCCAAAATTAAAGGAACCCAAGAGCAATTAAGGTAGACCCAAGTTAATTCAAGCAAGAACAAAGGGATTGGTAGCTGTTTCTTACCCAAAACCGGAGCAAATCACCCCCACAAAGCAGGAGTAGCCGGCGGAAGGACAGAGCAAAGCAGGGCAGATCCGGATTTTCCAGTACAGGGGGAGAGATTTCTTGGTTCTAGAAGTGTTCTAGAGCAAGAAAAGAAGGAGAAAACCAAGCTTTCTCACCAATTTTCCAAGGCATGGCTGGGTTCCTCTTTTTTTTTTTTTCTTTCGGGTGGCTACAGCGGGAAGAAAGGAGAGGAAGAGCAGAATCGGGCAAGGCTGGAAAGAAAGAAGGAAGGAAAGAAAAAGAAAAGAAGCCATCCTTATCCAAAACTCTTCCACTTTTAAGTCCCTCAACTTTTGAAATTTTGGCTATTAAGCCCAAAACAATCTTTTCCTCAATTTAGTCCTTAACTGAATGCTAAAATATCACAAAATTTCGGGGTATTACACTAATTTCAAATTCTCCCCCATGATCACTTCTAATAGAAACAATAGTTAAACTTTTCTCATTTTGAAGCTTTTTATAAAGTCATTTGAAAGCATCAAGTGCATCATTTTTATGTGCAAGAAAAGCAACCCATGTAAATCTAGAATAGTCATCAACTACAACAAGCACATATGATTTTCCTCCAATGCTTAGAGTGCGCATAGGTCCAAACAAATCCATATGAAG